CACGCGGGCTCCGCTTGTGCAGCTTGCGCCTCCGTGGTGCACCAGGCGCCTCTGACTGCGCGCAGCTCCCGCAAGGGGGCGAGTTCGCTTCCCCCACTGGCTGTCCCCTCACCTGCCGCACCGCCCTCCGACCCAGAAAAAGAATTCCTAGCCGCGGAGTCCCACCGAGTCCCTGACGGCGGCGCCGTCCTCCGCGCCCCGTCGAGGCACGCAGCGCGCGCCGCTGGTCGCTCTGTCTGTCCCGTTGCTTTCTGAAGAAAGTCTCTCGAGACTATGACGGAGTGCGAGCCCTGAGCAGAGCTGAGACCCGCTAAATCCTTCGTGAACCCCGCAGGCTGTCCTTTGCGCACTGAAGACCGCACGGTCACCTGCCGGGCCGCGTGGCTTCAGCCGCTGGGGCGTGGGTCTCCGGTCTCCGGGCTGGGCCCCGGGCGATGCCGAGGAAGGCGAGCCAGTCCCTGTGCAGTGCAGAATGCAGAGGAACCTTCGGTTCCAAAACCTCCTGGGGACACACACTTTCTCCTTTCCTTTGCCTTTTCTTGGATGTCAGATCATTACTCTTTGAAGAGTTTTTTCAGTGCGCAGCTCGGTGGCCTTAAGCGCATTCCCAGGGCTGTGCCGCCACCCCAGCACCCCCTCATCCCCAACAGTTTTCATCTTCCCAGGCTGAAGCTCCGCACACCTCAGTGCCTAACTCGCTCCCCAGGCAATGGCAACCCCCGTTCTGTCTTCTCTCTCTAGGAGTTGACTTCTCTGGGTGCCTGCTAGAAGCGGGATATACAGTGCAGGCTCACTTCCTCCAGCCTGATGTGCCCTAGGTTCACCCGCAATGTAGCGGCACTAGAAATGGCTCAATGGCGTCATCTTCATAAACAGTAGCCCCAGCACGGCCTTGACATCGGGCCTCAGAAGCACCTAGGATAGCGAGTTCCAGAAACTCCAAAGGAGGTTAATGCTCAGCTTGCTGACAATTTCAGCCCTGTGTCCCCGCCCTCTGACATCTAAAGCTCTTCAACAGGTTTGCTTCTCCCCAGGAGCTGCCTTCAGCAAGACAAAAGTGCGGATCCCACCCCTCTGAGTTTCTAGTTGTTGGTTGTTTTTTTGTTTTTTAAGGTTTACTTACTGATTTGAAAGTTAGAGAGAGAGACAGATCTTCCATCTGTTGGTTCACTACCCAGATGGTCCCCAGGCTGAAGCTAGAAACCAGTAGATTCTTCCAGGTCTCCCACATTGGGCCCTGCACCCGCAGGGGAGACCAGGAGAAGCACCTGGCTCCTGCCTTTGGATAGGCGCGGTGTGCTGGCCGCAGCGCGCCAGCCGCGGCGGCCATTGGAGGGTGAACCAACGGCAAACGGAAGACCTTTCTCTCTCTCTCTCTCTCTCTCTCTCTCTCTCTCTCTGTCCACTCTGCCTGTGTTAAAAAAAAAAAAAGTGGAGCAGCTGGGACACAACTGTTGCCCATATGGGATGCCAGTGTTGCAGGAGGCACTCTGCCACGACGCCAGCCCCTGAGTTTCTAGTTTTAGAATGAAAACAGAAAGAGCTATCCCACCCTGCCTACCATGTAGGTGGCAGGGACCCAAAGGACTGGGCCATCATCTGCTGCTTTCCTAGGCACAGTAGCAGGTAGCACGATAGGAAGTGGAGCAGCCGGGGCTCAAACCTGCACTCATATGGGGCGCTGCTGTCCCAGGCATCTGTTCCACAACGCCTGCCCCCCAGTGATGGATGGGTTCTTTAGGGAGCACACTGAAGTGTAAGAATCCCACCCTAGCATTGCAAAGGTTCTCAATCCCAAAGCTAAAATAATATTTCTTTCACACATCTTCTCATTGTGCTTTGGTTATGCAGCAGCTGTGCCAGGGTTTGAGATTCAGCCTGAACAAACAACAAGCTTCTTGCCCTTGGAGTGCCCATTCTGGAGTGGCATGACAGACCGCAGGCAGATACACACGATAAACCAGGTAATCACTGGGCTGTGGTGAGTGCCAAGAAGGACACAATGCCAGATGATAAGATGGGTCAGGTTGAGAGAAGTCAACTCTAATGCCTTAGGCATCCATTGCATGTAAAGAGTTCTCCTCCCCCGTGCATCAGTACAAGCTGTATGCAATCCTTGAGAGCTGAGAAAACAATCGCTCAACACAGGCTCTATGATCTGTATTTAGAAGAGGAGCCTAAGTGGTTAAAAGACAAAGTAAGGGCGGGAACCCTCTTTGAAGCTGGAGGTGGTTAGGGAAGTCCCCTCTGAGTCCCAACTGCTAAGAATCAGCCAGGGGAACAGCCCAGGTAGGAGGAAGGGTGGGGGCAAGGCCTTGAAGAGGAAAGTAACTTGGTGAAGTTCGGGAACAGGAAAGAAGCAAATGACCGAGTATGAGAAAATAAGATTTAAAAACAAATGAGTGTTGGGCTGGTGCTGTGGCACAGCAGATTAAGCCACAGCCCGCAACACCAGCATCCACAAGGCACCAGTTTAAATCATGGCTGCTCAGCTTCTGATCCAGCCCCCTGCTAATGTACCTGGGCAAGCAGCAGAAGGTGGCCCAGGTGCCCGGGCCCCTGCCACCCACGTGGGAGACTCAGATGGAGTTCCAGGCTCCTGACTTCGGCCTGGCCCAGCCAGGGCCATTGCAACCATTTGGGGGAGTGACCTAGTGGATGGAACATCTGTGTGTGTGTGTGTGTGTGCATGTCCCTCTCGCTGTAAGTTTAAATAAAAAAAGTTAAATAAATAAATCTTAAGCACACACACAAATGGGTAAAGATCTTTCCCTTTGATTTCACAGCTGAGCTCAAATCGAAACTGTCAGGCTATACTACATCTAAAGTCCCATTGTCGCTGTGAACTGTATCATAAACTGACAGCTTGGCACAGCTTTGCTGCACATCAAAGCCATCTCTCTGGCTTCCTGCTGCAATGTGCCCTGTTACCTGTCACACTATAAACAGTTGTTAACAATTATAAGCTCATGAGAGTAGCAAGCAAAGCCCCCCCCTCCCCCCGCATGTCAGCACCTGTGGTTCCCAGATCAGCCAGGGGCCCAGCTCCAGATATGGGAGAGCTGCAGATAAAACATTCTCTGGGGGCAGGCATGTGGTTGAGGCACCTGTCGCTCACAGTGGAGTGCCTGTTTCAACTCTCCCACGTCTGCTTCCAACCCAGCTTCCTGTTAATTCGCACCCTGGGAGGCAGTAGATGAACTCAAGTACTCGGGTCCCTGCCACCCATGTGGTAGACCTGGATGGAGTTCCGGGCTGCCAGCTCTGTCCTGGCCTAGGCCTGGCAGATGTAGGCATTGGGTAGTGAACCAGCAGTCAAGAGATCTCTGTCTCTCTGTCTTACTGCCCTTCAAATAAAATGAAAAAATTAAAATTAAAAATACACGCATGTTCTCATTTTTGTTATTAAAGAAGACATGGTTAAGTAGAAAGAATATATATTTGCCTTCTAAGATCTCAGGGAATGAAGAGGTATCCATGGAAATACTATTACTTAGTCATTAAAATGGTGGCAGAATGCACCTGGGAATCTTGGGTTCTGAAAGGAGAGGATGCAGGTTGGAGAGAGGTGGGCAGGGTGAGTCTGGTGGTCTCAAGGGGAAGAGAGGTGTCCAGGATAGTTTGACAGGGCTAGGGGAACGGGGTGGGGGAGAGGCGGGCATCCATTTGCCGGACTTGTGCTAGGGCAAGGTCAATTCCAACACAGGCATTTGGTTCTACTTGGGAATAAACTCCAGTTGGCAAGAGGAAAGCCAACCTTTGTTTTATCTGTGCTGGAGGAGGAGAGACCCTGTAGGAAGTTTCAGGTTCTACAAAAGACTCACATTTGGGTATATCTACTTCCAGGGCTGTTCTTACAGATGGACATGGCCTGAGGCCTACTCTTCTATTAAAAAAACAAAACAAAACAAACAAACAAACAAAAAACAGGGGCCGGTGCTGTGGTGCAGTGAGTTAACGCCCTGGCCTGAAGCGCCGGCATCCCATATGGGCGCCGGTTCAGGTCCTGGCTGCTCCACTTCCAATCCAGCTCTCTGCTGTGGCCTGGGAAAGCAGTGAAAGATGGCCCAAGTCCTTGGGCCCCTGCACCCAAGTGGGAGACCTGAAAGAACCTCCTGGCTTCTGGCTTCGGATCTGCTTAGCTCTGGCCGTTGCGGCCAATTGGGGAGTTAACCAGCGGATGGAAGACCTCTCTCTATCTCTCTCTGTCTCTCTCTGCCTGTTCTCTCTCTGTGTAATTCAGACTTCCAAATAAATAAATAAATTTTTATGAAAAAAATGAAACTAGCCTGAGTTAGAAC